AATAACAACACATATAATGTTTGACAAGTGGCGTCGCGTGCTAACCACTAAGTACTAGCTATGCGGTCAGCTTTGTACTTATGCTGTGCTTCTGTCGACGCAGTAAGAGCAGGCTTGGTCAGAGTGGGAGGGGCTGGGAGGGAGCCTGAGGTGTGCTCAAAGAGAGAGACGTCATCGCGGGTAACGCTAAGCAGGTACAGGTGAAGCCCCTCAAGCCACGAATCGTAATTGACAGGGCTACCCTCGGCGTCAAACTCAAGGACATTACGAGTCGCCATTGTGAGCACTGCAGCCTAGCGACCGTGAAGAAGAAGGTATAGTGCTAGGAATGAAAGGTAGTGCTGGGCCCGAGCGGCGCGGATAGGCAGAGCGGAACTGCGGGCAGCTCGGTGGGGCGCAATGGCTCAGGGCAGCAGGGACGAAGCAGCATAGGGAGTGCACGAGGCAGTGCAAGCGGCCAGGCTGCAGTGCAGGCAGGAGTAGGTAAGGCAGTAGGCTGCGGGCTACGAGGGAGCGTAGCAACATAGGGCAGCGGCAGGATGGCAGCAAGCAGGATGATACGCTGCATGGCGGGCTGCAACACTAAGCAGTGTAGGCAGCAGTGCGAGCGGCAGTGCAGTAGCGCACGCAAGGCAACGTGCAGTAGGGCAGAGCGCGAGTGCAGCAGGGCAGCGCGGAAGCACGGCAGGGCAGCACATAGGCGCGGCTCGGTGGGCAGCAGCGCGCAGCAGCAGCGACGCAGTGGATAGAGGCGTCCACGGCGCGCGGGGCAGAGATGGCGCGCGCGTGGGGCAGCGGTGGCGCACGACGCGCGGGGCAGCTATGGCATGCAACGCGCAGGGTAGGGGATCGTGCGACGAGCAACAATGACGCGCGCTTTAAGGGCGCGCGGCGGGCAGGAGAAAACGGTGCGCTAGAGGTGCGCGCCAAGGGCAGCGGAAGGGGCAGCGGTAAGGGCGGGCATGAAAAAAAAATAAAAAATCGGTCCCTAAACGGGCGGTCCTAAGGATCAAACGTGCTCTATACCATGTTGAGAAGATAGAGACTATGGTGGTTGACTAAGGTGGTTGAGAGTTCAAGTAGAAACCCTGAAGGTTTATACTCTCTAGTGAGTACCCCTATGTAGCCTACAGATATGTATAATGTTTGACACCTTGGTACATGGTACCAAATGTAACATGGTTCGTGTTGGGATGGGAGTGGCGAGAGAAGCAGTTGGGCTAGGGGGAGGGGCCAGAGAGTAGCAGGTGGGCTGGGTAGAGGGGCCAGAGAGTAGCAAGTGGGGGAGGGGTGAGAGGGGCACGTGGGCAGAGGAGAGGGAAGAAACGGTGTGGGCTGCAGGACAGCCAAGAGGAAGTGGTGGGTTGGGGGTGTCAGAAGATTTACTTAGCAGAATGGATGACACAAGGGCATGCAGAGTTCATATCTACAATGTTTTACTAACTATATAGTACCTCATAGTTTGACACACCCCTTAGGCTAGGTAAGAGACGGTCACTGAACAAGAACTGGCAAACTCGGGCGGCATTATAGTCCAAACCTCTGAGAAAAAGATGCCACAAGGCAAGTCAATTTGTTCAAATAAAATAAATATGCAGAGCCGAGACACAATCAGGGCACGTAGCAAAATATCACGAAACTAACAAGTGATAACCTCATGTAACTAGACCAAGCTGTATGCAGAACTGCCGAAGATTACGAGGCTGAAGCGCCTTAGTGAAGATATGCGTAGTGTTGGCCTCTAAGGCCACATGTGCCACATGTTCATGGCCGCGGTGCTGCAACTCGAGCAGTAAGAAGTGCCACAGCTGAATGTGCTTTGCCTTGCCCACTAGTCGAGGCTCCTAACGCATGGGGATCATGGCCAGGGTTGTCGTTATCAGACAAAATATGTATGATGGTTTAATTGTCAGACCTATTTCTATTAGGCCATGTTCCTACGGCCACTAATTAGGCCAACCTCTTATCAAGCTTGAGTCGAAACACACAGAAAATTCCCCAAACCCAAAAACCCTCGCCACTTTTTCCAGGCAAGGCTGACAAGAGGTTTGCCTGATAAGAGCGTAGTTAGTTCATTTAATTTTGTAGGCAAGTCAAATATCTTCATCCAAACGTTCAGAAACGGAAACTATATTCGTCTGATTTGTCATATGTTATTGTAAATTTTCATCTAAATCTGCAGACAATGGGGATGTGTTTGTCCAACACTAAGATTTCCATGCCCACTGAACGTGGAGCGAAATGTAGAGATAAAGTGATCCAAGCCGTTTATGTCCAAAAAGAAACCCTGTCATAATCCCAACCACTAGACCATTAGGATAAAAGGGCTTGTTTGTGTAGCGGGTGAGTGTGCCCATAACCCCACAAGCCAACATGTCTGTAACCTTTGTCTAGGATCAATCAGGGATCACCAGTGGACCTCTGACAAACCCATATAGAGCGATTGGATCCTTAATAGAAACGGCATCCCTTCCCGACCGCCCCTTCCCGCCGCCCGATTCCCCTTTCGCTCCGCCAAATTCCAGCTCCCGCCGCCCGATTCCCGTTCCCGCCGCCCACTTCCCCTTTCGCGCCGCCAAGTTCTAGATCCCGCCATCCGACTCCCGTTCCTGCCGCCCGCTTCCCCTTTCTCGCCGCCCGATGCAACTTCCCGCCGCCCGATTCCCATTTCCCGCCGCCAGACATGCCTTCCTGCCTCCCTATTTCCTTTTCCGTCGCCCGAATATCTGTCCCTCCCTTCTCTCCCTTCCCTCCCTTCTCTCCCTTCCCTCCCTTCTTTCCCTTCCCTCCTTGCTCTCCCTTCCCTCCCTTCTCTCCCTTCCCTCCCTTATCTCCCTTCTCTCCCTTCTCTCCCTTCCCTCCCTTCTCTCCCTTCACTCCCTTCTCTCCCTTCCCTCCCTTCTTTCCCTTCCCTCCTTGCTCTCCCTTCCCTCCCTTCTCTCCCGGCTCCCCCTCCCCTCCCTGTCCCCCTTCCCTCTTTCCCTCCCTTCCCTCCCTTCTCTCCCTTCCCTCCCCTCCCTCCCCTCCCTCCTTTCCCTCCTTTCCCTCCAATCCCTCTCTTCTCTCCCTTCTCTCCCTTCCCTCCTTTGCTCCCTTCCCTCCCTTCTCTCCCTGCTCTCCCATCTCTCTTTTCCCTCCCTTCTCTCCCTTCCCTCCCTTCTCTCCCTTCCCTCCCTGCTCTCCCTTCCCTCCCTTCTCTCCCTTCCCTCCCTTCTCTCCATTCCCTCCCTTCTTTCCATTCCCTCCCTTCTCTCCCTTCCCTCCCTTCACTCCCTTCCCTCCCTTCTCTCCCTACCCTCCCAACTAATTACCCACACGCCTCTCTTCTCTCCTTTCCCTCCCTTCTCTCCCTTCCCTCCCTTCTCTCCCTTCCCTCCCTTCTCTCCCTTCCCTCCATTCTCTCCCTTCCCTCCCTTCTCTCCCTTCCCTCCCTTCTCTCCCTTCCCTCCCTTCTCTCCCTTCCCTCCCTTCGCTCCCTTCCCTCCCTTCTCTCCCTACCCTCCCCACTAATTACCCACACGCCTCTCTTCTCTCCCTTCCCTCCCTTCTATCCCTTCCCTCCCTGCCTTACCCTCTTTTCTTTCCCTCCAATCCCTCCCTTCTCTCCGTTCTCTCCCTTCCCTCCCTTTCTCTCTTCCCTCCCTTCTCTCCCGTCCCTCCCTTCCCTTCTGAAATCCCTTTCCTCCCTTCTCTCCCTTCCCTCCTTTCTCTCCCTTCCCTCCCTTCTCTCCCTTCCCTCCCTTCCCTCCCCCGACTCCTTTGCCTCCAATCCCTCCCTTCTCTCCCTTCCCTCCCTTTCTCCCTTCCCTCCCTTCTCTCCCTGCTCTCCCATCTCCCCCTTCCCTCTCTTCTCTCCCTTCCGTCCCTTCTATCCCTTCCCTCTCTTCTCTCCCTTCCCTCCTTTCCCTTCTATCCCTCTGTTCCCTCCCTTCCCTCCCTTCCCTCCCTTCCCTCCCTTCCCTCCCTTCCCTCCCTTCTCTCCCTTCCTGCCCTTCTCTCCCCCCTTACCTTCTCTCCCTTTTTCACCCTTCCCTCTAATCCCTCTTTGCAATCTCCAGTCTCTCCCGACTCTCCCTTCCCTCCCTTCCCTCCCTTCCCTCCCTTCCCTCCCTTCCCTCCCTTCTCTCCCTTCCCTCCCTTCTCTCCCTTTCCTCCCTTATCTCCCTTCCCTCCCTTCTCTCCCTTCCCTCCCTTCTCTCCCTTCCCACCCTTCCCTCCCCCGACTCCTTTCCCTCCAATCCCTCCCTTCTCTCCCTTCCCTCCCTTCTCTCCCTTCCCTCCCTTCTCTCCCTTCCCTCCCTTCTCTCTCTTCCCTCCCTCCTCTCAATTCCCTCCCTTCTATCCCTCCCTTCTCTCCCTTCCCGCCCTTTCCCCCTTCCCTCCTTCCCTCCTTTCCCTCCCTTCTCTCCCTTCCCTCCCTTCCCTCCACTCCCTCCTTTCCCTCAAATCCCTCCCTTCTCTCCCTTCTCTCCCTTCCCTCCCTTTCCCCCTTCCCTCCCTTCTCTCCCTGCTCTCCCATCTCTCCTTTCCCTCCCTTCCCTCCCTTCCCTCCCTTCCCTCCTTCCCTCCCTCCCTCCTTCCCTCCCTTCCCCCCCTTTCTCCCTTCCCTCCCTGCTCTCCCGTCTCTCCCTCCCACTCCCTTCTCTCCCGTCACTCACTTCCCTCCTTCCCTCCCTTCCCTCCCTTCACACCCTTCCCTCCCTTCTCCCTTCCCGCCCTTCTCTCCCCCCTTACCTTCTATCCCTTCCCTCTCATCCCTCCTTGCAATCTCCTGTCTCTCCCTTCTCTCCTTTCTCTCCCTTCACTCCCGTCCCTCCCGTCCCTCCCTTCTCTCCCTTCCCTCCTTTCCCTCCCCTTCTCTCCTTTCCCTCCAATACCTCCCTTCTCTCCCCCTTTACCCCATCTCCCTTTGCTCGCTTTTGGCCTCCCACTGCCTCAACCTGCCTTCCCGTCTCCCCTTCATGCCTCACACCACCTTTCCCTTCCTTCTCAGCCCGCCTTCATGCCTCCCACCACCTTTCCCTGCATGCCCCTCCCCCTTTCATGTGTCCCACCTCCTTTCTCTGCCTTCCCATCTCCCCTTCATGCCTCCCAACACCTCTCTGTGCCTTCGACCTTTCGTCCCTCCCATCCACTCCTTTCTCACTGGGCCACTCTTTGTCCTGCTCGTAGGGGCAAGCCGAACCTCTCATCACCATCCAGACCCTCCCATCCCCTTCCAGACCCTCCCATGCCCTTCCAGACCCTCCCATCCCCTTCCAGCCCCTCCCATCCCCTTCCAGCCCCTCCCATCCCCTTCCAGCCCCTCCCATCCCCTTCCAGACCCTCCCATCCCCTTCCATACCCTCCCATCCCCTTCCAGCCCCTCCCATCCCCTTCCAGCACCTCCCATCCCCTTCCAGCCCCTCCCATCCCCTTCCAGCACCTCCCATCCCCTTCCAGCCCCTCCTATCCATGCGCACACTGCCGGTTCGTTTACCTACTCACTTCACAAACTTCCCTACTCCCTTCTGCCTGTTCCCCGCCAGAAATCAAAGATGTTCTCGCGCCGACGTGGGCGTCGGCAACGGTTGACGCTTGGTTTTAGAGTTGGTATTGAGGATGAGGATGATGAAGATGAGGAAGGAGAGCGGCGACGGGGGGCTAGCAGGACTAAATCGCGTACAAATACTTGCGGCATCTTTGTGTCTAGGGGTTCAGTGGTTACTAGCACGTCACACCCAATACGTACGGTTCACCGTCAAAGGGTTGTACGACCCACTGGATTACCCCCCCAGGTTTTTTACGAAAGTGAGAGTTGGTCACCCTCCGAATTTGCTGTACATCATGCGAAACAGTACCATGTTCTCCTAGAGTGGGCTCGAAAGGAGCTTGGGTACGCGGACATGGCAATCAGTAGTGTGGATAACGGAACCGTGACTGATGTCGTGCGAGTATGTTTGGGTAAAAACACAGCGGTGGATGCACAGGGTCATCCGATGCTTCCCAAGAACCATCGTTTTCGTTGTTACATTGAATACTCTGAGTTGCTGGGAGGCCACGCATGCTCCCGTGTGACTTTGCCTTGGTTGGTCTATGTGGTTATAGGTTTGCTGTATCCTGAGCCATCGGGTGAAGGCTACAAAAATTGCAGCCAGGCTGACATTGATTGGTTTGAAAGAGAATGGGAAGTGCCTGACAACATAGATTTTGCAATGAGGGAATTCATGCTCGGGCATATGAGTAGCAACGTGATCGGTACCGAGGAATCCAGGGTGGGTTGACGATGTTACAAGCGACCACATTGACTAAATGTTATCACATTACGTGTGCCACTCGTTACCAGGGTTGATGATAACTATTGGGTTGGCAATATATTAGTACGGCAATGTACTAGGTTCAGGTGCCGGTACGATGGGGCGGGAACAAGGAGTTCTGAGAGGGTTATCACCGAGACCAGCACAACCACCTGAAGCACCGTCACCAGCAGTAGCACCTACAGGGTTGGGAGAAGGGAAAAGAGGCGGAGACGGGGAGAAAAGAAAGGGGAGGAGGGTGAAGAGACATGCACAAGCTCAGAGGTGGGGAGGACAGTGCGTGATGGGTTGACGTAGGGGTAGGAAGGAGCACCAACAGGTGCGCACAAGGAGGAGTGATGCAACAATGTGGCAGGGTCAGAAAACGCGCACCCAATGCATCGACTGAACGAGATCTCCACTGACAGAACGTGCACCGCTGTCCCCTCACCAGATGACAGCGGCAGGTGCTTGCAGGGAGAGTGAGAGCAAATCTACCTAGTTCCACGCGAGGCCATAGTAGCTCACGGCAGCATGGTCCCCCATCTTCGCCAGCTCGCCACTCACGTTCCACAGCAGCCCCACCAGGTACACCACCTCCAGCACCAGGCAAGCTATGTTGCGCGCCAATGCATCGGACATGGCCATGGCTGCCGGCTGAATGATGCAAATTCACGGCCTTGCTGCCACCTGTGCTCAATGTGTACAACAAGGGAATGCAATGAGGGTGATGGACGGAAGGAAATCGGAGGAAGAGCACGAATGTGAGGAAGACAAGAATGGCAAGCAAGCACCACGGCATACAGCATGGCATGGCATGGCATGGCATACGGTCTCTCACCAGCTGATTCGAATCCTGCCCTTGCAGCCATCACAGTGAGAACATTAGCAGAGGAGGTGGAAGAGGATGAAGAGGAGGAGGAAGGCGCCACCCGCCTAACTCACTGACCACCCGCCTAACTCACTGACCACCCGCCTAACTCACTGACCACCCGCATAAGGGGGTCGTCGCTGGTGTCCTGCACGACAGCTGATTGTTGGGTAGTACAATGTTGCGGGACGCTGCCATGAGGAACTTGTACTTAACAGATATTGAATGATTTTCACAACCTACGCTTCATTCGCATCCACGCCATCACCACTCGCGCAGTCCCCCCATGCCACCAGCTCCACCATCCTGGCGGATCCAATCGGAGAGACGTGGCGCTTACCAGGAGGGGGCGATTGCACAGTTTTAGGGTTTTAGCAGCACCTCCCATTCGCAGGGCGGTATCTCCATCTCCACTGCCACCTCCCCACCTGCCACGGGCCAGAACGCCTCGTACCTGATGATACGACGGGGTGGGATGGGGTGGAGTGGGGTGGAGGGTGGTGGTGTGGGTTGCGTTAGGATGGAATGGGTCAAGATGTGATGGTTGACTGACAGCTAGATGAGCAGGACGGATGGAGGAGGGTACGTGCACCAGCAGAGTAGCTGCTTCCTTTGCAAGTGGGAAGAACATACCAGCAGAGGGAGACGGGATTTACCACGCAGGAGGTTCCAATAACATTGCATATCGAAGCGTGTAAGCATCAACACACTTTGAGATAACAAATTCACACACGGATGGCAACCCTTGAATGATTCGTTCGTGTTGACGTCATTGCACATTTGTCAAGGCTCCTACAATCAGCGAGTATACATGTGCATGTGTAATATTAGTAAGTGTTACGGGCCGTCCAATAAAGTCCAAATGCACCCCCATTGACTTACCAAGCAAGGATCTTGAGGCGGTGGAGGGTTGTCCTTCATTGGTGCGCCTCCGCTTCGAAGGGGCTCGGGTGTTGTGGAGGAGATCTTTCTCAGACAACCCATTCTGCACACCATGCACCCAAATCGATCATTAGTAAACCTATTCATTTCAATCTTCAAATGGGGCAATCCCATTGCATGGGTGAGGGCTGGCCAGCCCTTTTGATTACGGTGGGCCCGCCCATGTGTTGAGGCGAGCCCACCGCATGGAAGAGGGCTGGCTAGCGATGGCATAATGACGGGGAAGGGAGGGCTTGCAGGGGGGAACTGTTTGCATGATGAGGGGGGAGGGAGGCCTAGCAGGGGGTATACTGAGGACATGATGACGGGGAAGGGAGGGCTAGTAGGGTGGAAACGCAAGGAATGGGGGGGATGGAGACAATGAGAGGGAATGGAGGGAATGGAGGGAATGGAGGCAATGAGAGGGAATGGAGGGAATGGAGGGAATGGAGGCAATGGGAGGGAATGGACGGCTAGCAGGGGGTAACTTATGGCATGATAAGGGGGAAGGGAGGGTAGGGTAGGGATGGATGGAAGGGCAGTGGGGGGAAAGGCAGGGCAGGTTGGGAGTTGGACTGAAGGAAAGAGCGTAGCAGGTAGTGAATGTTGGCGTGGGAATGGGAGGGAGGAAGGGCAGGGGTGAGATGGCAGGGCAGGGTAGGGAGGAACACGGCTGTCTCACCTCCTGCAAAATGGTTGGTTTTGTCCTCTTTGCCTTGGCGGACGTGGCGCCTTATGCGAGGGAGTTGTGCCTTAGGAATGCGTGTGCAAGCTAGCTTGCACCGAAATACGGCGCAAATCGAGGGAAAACTTGGGGCTCGCAGGGGGGAAACATGGGGCTACCATGGGGGAAACATGTGGCTAGCATGGGGGAAACATGGGGCTAGCATGAGGGGAACATGGGGCTAGCATGAGGGGAACATGGGGCTAGCATGGGGGAAACATGGGGAAGCATGGGGGAAACATGTGGCTAGCATGGGGGAAACATGGGGCAGCCCTGAGGAGAAATATGGGGCTTTCACGGGGAAATTAAGGGCTGGCAGGGGGGAAACGTGGGGAGAGTAACATGGGGCTAGAAGGGGGGTAACATGGGGCTAACATTGGGAAAAGATTGGGCTAGAATGGGGGGAATGTGGGGCTATCAGGGTGGAAATATGAACTTGAGCGCAGGGGGAGAACGTGGGGCCTGCAGGGGAAAACGTGGGGCCTGCAGCGGGAAACATGGGGCCTGCAGGTGGAAACTTTCGAACTGCAGGGGGGACACATGGGGCTAGTAGGGGGGACACATGGGGCTAGCAGGGGGGAAACATGGGGCTACCATGGGGGGAATATGGGGCTGGCAGGGAGGAAACATGGGGCTAGCATGGGCGGAATATGGGGCTATCACGGGGGAAAAATGGGTCAGGCGTGGGGGAAACATGGGGCCTACAGGTGGAAACTTTCGGCCTGCAGGGGGGACACATGGGGCTAGCAGGGGGGACACATGGGGCTAGCAGGGGGAAACATGGGGCTAGCATTGGGGTAACATGGGGCAAACAGGGGCGAAACATGGGGCTAGCAGGGGGGAACCATGGGGCTAGCAGTGGGGAAATATGGGGCAAACAGGGGCGAAACATGGGGCTAGCTTCATAAAAAATGGGGCGTGCAGGTGGAAACTTTCGGCTTGTAGAGGGGGACACATGGGGCTGGCAGGGGGGAAACATGGGGCTAGCATCGAGGGGAAATTGGGGATACAATGGGTGGAACTATGGGGCTATCAGGTGGGTCAATTCGAAAGTCACCTGTGCAGTTTACAAGGCACCCACCAGGCGGGGTTGGTAGTGAGGGACAGACCGGTGAGAAAAAGCAGCAAGGATGCCGACCCAGATGGACAGGCAACTGAGCTTTCGATATGAATGGGGGATATGGTGGGCATGGGAGGAATGGAACGAAGAAGAGGGGTGATAGGTGTAAGGACCAGCAGGAGCTTACAGACCAGCAGGGCAGCAAGGATGCTGACATAGATGGCCCGCGGGTTCAGCGACCCCGGACTGATGCGCAAGCTATCTGATGGGCGAATGATGGTGGGCATGGCGGGACTGGGAGGCGGAATAGGGAGGTGAGGAGATATGAGAGGGGCATGAAGCAACGTAAACCACAGGTGTGTCATCGACAGACAGATGAAGCAACTACCTGAGTGCACTCCCCTCTGCAAGGGGTAGCGAGAGTAGCTGGAAAGTGGTTCGCCTGCACACAGAAGGGGCAAGCCAGCCAGCTGAGAGCCCTCCACATGCTACTGGGAGCAGCGATGCACTCACCACACAGCCTGGGAAGGGAAGGGGTGGGAGGGAAAAGAGAATATGACAAGGGAAGGCATATAAGAGTGTGAAAATTGTCGAGGTGAAAGGCCCCGCCCTTGCTTGGGCGCAAGCATTCTCTGCGACGACGTGGTGAATTCGACGAAGTGATCGTCGCATTGGATCAGCCCGTCCTCTGAAACCGCGGTGGGTTTTCGAGGAGTTGGTCCTCTTATTCACCAGCCCATCAACGAGCTCTGGTCGACGGGGTGCTGTTCGACAAGCTCGTCCTCTGATCTGCTCGTGAGTCGCGCGATCTCTGGCGGACGGGGTGCCGTCCGAAGAGCTTCGTTCTCTGATCGAAGGGCGTCTTTCGGCGAGCCTCGTCTCGGCGAACTGGTCGGCCGAATTCGTGCGACTGCGAACTCTGCGAAGGCATGCGAAATTTGCTCAGGTTATTCTTAGCGAAATTTCACCTGCGGAATGGCATCACGTGTTCGACGGTGAACATCTGATGAAACCGTTGGAGCGTTTTCTACCTGGCACCTATGTCAGAACTATATAGCTTATACTATTGTGTAGGCTATAGTGGGGTATCCCATAGGGGGTACAACCCAATTAGGGTTTCCTATTTGTACTCACTTCTTTCATAGTCATTCCATTCTCGTTCTCTCTTTCACATGGAATCAGAGCAAGTCCCCTACTAGGGACTGTTTCTTGGGCCCACCGAAGCGCGCCCCGAGGCGCGCGTCCTTTTTTTTAGCGACCCGTCGTGTCGCCCTCCCTAGCGGCCTGTCGAGCCGCCCTACCTTGCGGCCCCGCCGCCCTATCGCGCGGCCTCGCCGCCCTAAGTCGCGGCCTGCCCGCCGCCCTACTTCGACGGCCCCGCCGCCCTACGTCGTGGCCCGCCGCCCTACTTCGACGGCCCGCCCGCCGCCCTACGTCGCGGCCCCGCCGCCCTGCGTCCCGGCCCGCCCGCCGCCCTACTTCGACGGCCCGCCCGCCGCCCTACGTCGCGGCCCCGCCGCCCTACGTCCCGGCCCGCCCGCCGCCCTACTTCGAAGGCCCGCCCGCCGCCCTACGTCGCGGCCCCGCCGCCCTCAGCTACGCGGCCCCGCCGCCTTCTGCTACGCGGCCCTGCCGCCCTCTGCTACGCGGCCCCGCCGCCCCTCGATCGCGGCCCCGCCGCCCTCTGCTACGCGGCTCCGCCGCCCTCTGCTACGCGGCCCCGCCGCCCTCTGCTACGCGGCCCCGCCGCCCTCTCCTACGCGGCACCGCCGCCCTCTGCTCCGCGGCCCCGCCGAGCCGCCCAGCATCAGCCGAGCCGCCCAGCAGCAGCCGAGCCGCCGCCGAGCCGCCGCCGCCTGAGCCGCCGCCCGGGCCGCCGCCGAGCCGCCGCCGCCTGCGCCGCCGAGCCGGAGCCGCCCGAGCCGCCGCCGAGCCGCCCAGCAGCAGCCGAGCCGCCGCCGAGCCGCCGCCGCCCGAGCCGCCGCTGAGCTGCGACCGAGCCGCCGCCCGAGCCGCCCGAACCGCCCGAGCCGCCCGAGCCGCCCGAGCCGCCCGAGCCGCCGTGCTGCTGT